CAGTCGTATAAATGTGTGTGTGATTCGAGTGAACAGATCAATCGATCAGTCGTATAAATGTGTGTGTGATTCGAGTGAACAGATCAATCGATCAGTCGTATAAATGTGTGTGTGATTCGAGTGAACAGATCAATCGATCAGTCGTATAAATGTGTGTGTGATTCGAGTGAACAGATCAATCGATCAGTCGTATAAATGTGTGTGTGATTCGAGTGAACAGATCAATCGATCAGTCGTATAAATGTGTGTGTGATTCGAGTGAACAGATCAATCGATCAGTCGTATAAATGTGTGTGTGATTCGAGTGAACAGATCAATCGATCAGTCGTATAAATGTGTGTGTGATTCGAGTGAACAGATCAATCGATCAGTCGTATAAATGTGTGTGTGATTCGAGTGAACAGATCAATCGATCAGTCGTATAAATGTGTGTGTGATTCGAGTGAACAGATCAATCGATCAGTCGTATAAATGTGTGTGTGATTCGAGTGAACAGATCAATCGATCAGTCGTATAAATGTGTGTGTGATTCGAGTGAACAGATCAATCGATCAGTCGTATAAATGTGTGTGTGATTCGAGTGAACAGATCAATCGATCAGTCGTATAATGTGTGTGTGATTCGAGTGAACAGATCAATCGATCAGTCGTATAAATGTGTGTGTGATTCGAGTGAACAGATCAATCGATCAGTCGTATAAATGTGTGTGTGATTCGAGTGAACAGATCAATCGATCAGTCGTATAAATGTGTGTGTGATTCGAGTGAACAGATCAATCGATCAGTCGTATAAATGTGTGTGTGATTCGAGTGAACAGATCAATCGATCAGTCGTATAAATGTGTGTGTGATTCGAGTGAACAGATCAATCGATCAGTCGTATAAATGTGTGTGTGATTCGAGTGAACAGATCAATCGATCAGTCGTATAAATGTGTGTGTGATTCGAGTGAACAGATCAATCGATCAGTCGTATAAATGTGTGTGTGATTCGAGTGAACAGATCAATCGATCAGTCGTATAAATGTGTGTGTGATTCGAGTGAACAGATCAATCGATCAGTCGTATAAATGTGTGTGTGATTCGAGTGAACAGATCAATCGATCAGTCGTATAAATGTGTGTGTGATTCGAGTGAACAGATCAATCGATCAGTCGTATAAATGTGTGTGTGATTCGAGTGAACAGATCAATCGATCAGTCGTATAAATGTGTGTGTGATTCGAGTGAACAGATCAATCGATCAGTCGTATAAATGTGTGTGTGATTCGAGTGAACAGATCAATCGATCAGTCGTATAAATGTGTGTGTGATTCGAGTGAACAGATCAATCGATCAGTCGTATAAATGTGTGTGTGATTCGAGTGAACAGATCAATCGATCAGTCGTATAAATGTGTGTGTGATTCGAGTGAACAGATCAATCGATCAGTCGTATAAATGTGTGTGTGATTCGAGTGAACAGATCAATCGATCAGTCGTATAAATGTGTGTGTGATTCGAGTGAACAGATCAATCGATCAGTCGTATAAATGTGTGTGTGATTCGAGTGAACAGATCAATCGATCAGTCGTATAAATGTGTGTGTGATTCGAGTGAACAGATCAATCGATCAGTCGTATAAATGTGTGTGTGATTCGAGTGAACAGATCAATCGATCAGTCGTATAAATGTGTGTGTGATTCGAGTGAACAGATCAATCGATCAGTCGTATAAATGTGTGTGTGATTCGAGTGAACAGATCAATCGATCAGTCGTATAAATGTGTGTGTGATTCGAGTGAACAGATCAATCGATCAGTCGTATAAATGTGTGTGTGATTCGAGTGAACAGATCAATCGATCAGTCGTATAAATGTGTGTGTGATTCGAGTGAACAGATCAATCGATCAGTCGTATAAATGTGTGTGTGATTCGAGTGAACAGATCAATCGATCAGTCGTATAAATGTGTGTGTGATTCGAGTGAACAGATCAATCGATCAGTCGTATAAATGTGTGTGTGATTCGAGTGAACAGATCAATCGATCAGTCGTATAAATGTGTGTGTGATTCGAGTGAACAGATCAATCGATCAGTCGTATAAATGTGTGTGTGATTCGAGTGAAAAGATCAATCGATCAGTCTTATAAATGTGTGTGTGATTCGAGTGAACAGATCAATCGATCAGTCGTATAAATGTGTGTGTGATTCGAGTGAACAGATCAATCGATCAGTCGTATAAATGTGTGTGTGATTCGAGTGAACAGATCAATCGATCAGTCGTATAAATGTGTGTGTGATTCGAGTGAACAGATCAATCGATCAGTCTTATAAATGTGTGTGTGATTCGAGTGAACAGATCAATCGATCAGTCGTATAAATGTGTGTGTGATTCGAGTGAACAGATCAATCGATCAGTCGTATAAATGTGTGTGTGATTCGAGTGAACAGATCAATCGATCAGTCGTATAAATGTGTGTGTGATTCGAGTGAACAGATCAATCGATCAGTCGTATAAATGTGT